GAAAATTAAGGACACACCAATTACTTACATAGCATGTTCTTCTTTTCCTGAGTCCATGGCGTCGGTGACAACCAGCACGGACGGCAAGCGCCAGGTTTTCAGATCGGTGACGACAAGTCACGGACGGCAAGACATGCGCAGTAAGTACGAAACGCAACTTTGGACTTCCGGTTGACGTTCGTGACTCCAAAACGCCTGGTGCTTAAGCTCCCTAATATAGCTACTACTCACCTGTGCCTCTAAATCCTTTGCTTGCCTTGTAGTCCTTGTAGAGGGGACAACTTGTGCAAGTATGGCTTTCCGTTGTTTAATACTGGTATACTTAGCTTTCTTTTGCTGTCTTTCTTTTTCTACTGGTTTTTTTTTTGTGTGTGAATGTTTTGTGTAGCTGTGTGTGGTGTGCGGTACCTGACCCTTTAATATAATCATTTATAAATAACCTAAGTGAGGCTGCCCTATCTTTTTAGCCCTCAATGGTTATTATGGGGAGCCTGTACTCTCTCTATATATTTATCTAATTTTTTTGTATCATGTAAATCAATGTAGGGCACAGCTGGGTACAAATAAAGTTGTTGTTGTTGAATTGTTGTTGTTGCTGCTGCAAGCATTCGACATTGACAGACATTACACACATGGATGATTCTCTATTTTTTGATATTCCCGCCAATATTTGAAAAAGTTGTTAAATGGGGCAGCGGTTCATTTGAGTTTCTTCATGAATGCCATTCGATCCGGGGCCATTGAAGGGATGTTACTCAGTAACATCCGCTGAAAGGACCTTCTTGATGCGCCAAGAGGCTCGATCGAGGCGAAACATTAAAACATCCTTTCCAAACAGATCCAGTGGCATCTTCTTGGTTTAATCAATCGAGGGATGAACGAAGAAGCAAGACAAGACCTCGAAACAAACATCAGATCATCAGACAAATCGGAGTGGACGATCGAAGCGAAGCTTGCATGAGTCACAGGGGGAACCACGAGGCGAGCGTGACGTCATAAGTTTACGAAATCCGACCGAAGACAAGAGGGCCTTTCGACGGATGTTACAGTCAAACCAGGTCAAGCGTTCCCGTCGCTAACAAACTAATGAATTCATTAATGGAAAAATGATTTCGTTTGTTGATTCAATAATCCATTCATAAAATGAATAATCCAACAGTCAAATTGGACCTCGATTCAATAATCAAATGTTGATTTGGTTTATGAACAAAATCTACCTGTTCTTTATTCTTGTCTGTTGTGTTCAATCGTATTTGCTTCCTTTTTCCTGCCGTTTACGATTGCGTTTTTCATTGCCTTTAATCAAAATAACAGCTAGAATAGACAGACCGCAAACGCAAAGAAACTATGAGAAACTGACAAAGGCCGAGGATCGAAATCCACCAATCACCGCACATACACTGACCTTAGTTTGACCGTTGTGTTTTCTAAGAGGTCAGGCCTTGGTCTGTTGCACTGATTACTGGCAGCAAACTGGCGTACATGTAACAGTTTGTTTGGGTTTGAACTTCAGAACTCGCCAGCACTCGACTCTCAGAAAAAAAAGAGGAAAAAACAAAATTCTGAGGTCAACTTGTCGAAAGTGTAGTTTTTCAAAAAACAGTAATCGAATCAACATTCGATTATGGAATCGAGGCTAAATATGAATATTGGATTGTTCATTTTATGAATGGATTATTGAATCAACAAACGAAATCATTTTTCCGTGAATGAATTCATTAGTTCGTTAGCGACGGGAACGCTTGACCTGGTTTGACTGTAACGAGTGCTGACCGTAAAACCATCCGTCTCTTCGGTTAGACCCAGTTCCCCATTTCCCATGGTAACGAAACTCGCCATGTACAATGTTGATGATGCTGGGACCGAATTTAGCGCCAAAAACAGCCAAAAAAATCATTTGATGGGCATTTTTGCCCCGATTTCGACTTTTCGGCAAATGGGAGACCAGAATTTTAATTCAGTTAGATAATTAGCTGTTGACAGCTTTGGATTTCGGATGCCTCCTTCTTATGTAGACCATTACTTAAAAGCAAGAAATGCCTCAGCGTCAAAACAGATACTGGAATGAAAGTCAAAGAAAGATAGCCGTTCGGGATTAACCCTGCTATGCTACAATTTACAACACAGACGTGAGCATTGAAATGCAACGGCACACTTGGACGCGAAATACGTTAATATACGGGTAGTACATACATAAAATCTTCCTACCTTATCCGATCCTAACAGATACCTGTGCAGTTTCTAAACGCCTTCCAAATGACCATAGATCGAGGAGGTTTCCCGTCCCAGTGAGCACATAACAAAAGAGAAATTGGTTCCAACGGAAATATTCCAGAGCGCGCAAACCTTGGACAATATTGCAAACAAGCATACCGAATGCAATCAGTTCTGAGTTCACTCCGCTAAAAGACCAGAGTGTATTATTTATTGGAGAGAGTTTTTGTATTCAATCGTCTCAATATTTGATGGCATTGGCAGACTTAAATTGCAAATTAATTACAAGCTTTCATTTCTAAAATAATTAATTTTAATAAAAATTAATTATTAATCCGCAAGTTTTAATAGCCATAGGCACCCTTTGATTTTTTTCAATATTTTAGCTATCTACATAGTGTAGACAGAGCCTTAGGGTGGATTTGTTTGCAGCCAGAATACGCGTAGAACCCTCGCATTATCCCGTAGGAATTTTTAATTCCTCTCAAGGTTAAAAACAATAAAACTGAATTTCAGGAGGTCAGTGCAACGGCACGCTGCAAATGAATCTACCCTTAATTCGAGCTGTTATTTGGCTTGCATATCTAAGCTAAATGGCAAATGTACTCCGTGACCGGATGCGTTCTGGATCAACTTCCCAAGTGCGTCTGGTGCGTGGCCTGGATGCTGACTTACGTAGGCGTAGAGTGGGCTTAGAGTAGGCGTTTATACCTCCACAACGGATAGTTTACTGATCTCCATGAATGACGTTTATATTTTTCACGAGATCCAAGTTCCTTTCTAGGTCGAAAAAGAAAGGTAGTCTGTAACTTTCGCGTGCCGCGGGTGAGTACTGTGGCTCTGCAGCGATCAAGAGGCGAAAGTGCAGTCAATTGAAATCAGTTGTGTGGGCAATAAGCTGAAATGGACCAGTGGTCACATAACTGAAGGAATGTTCTAGAACTCGTGCTGTATCATAAACGGTCCGTTCGAATCCGTATGGATCGAGCCCAGGACATACTTGAAAAAAACATAAGCACACAAGCTAAAAAACACTTGGCAAATTCATGGCTACGGCACTCCCTAATTTGGCCTAGATGGATATGTGCCTCTGAACAGGGTGTATTTTTAAACTGGAAGTCTAAAAATGAGAGTGTGAAGGCTGTAGATCAGCGGTCTACATTTGTGGCACCAACGAAACGAATCAGGGTCATAAAATAAGGTTTCTTAACAGGGTAATCTATTAAGACTTTGAAGTTAACTTATTAAACATTGCGAACCTTTTTTGATTGACAACTTAACAATATTAACTTTACGTCGTAAAATTATATTTGATTGACAACTTAAGAAGCAGATAAATTTTACGTCGTAAAAGTTACGACGTAAAACCTATTTGATTGACAACTTTAACTATATTAACTTTACGTCGTAAAATTATATTTGATTGACTACTTAAGAAGCAGATAAATTTTACGTCGTAAAAGTTACGACGTAAAACCTATTTGATTGACAACTTGACGAATGGATTTATTACAACGTACCTTGCTTTTACGCCGTAAATATCCACGACGTATCGTGTAGCTAAAATTTATTTTACGTCGTAACGCGAACCTCCTCGTTTACGTCGTAATTTTTACGTCGTAACGTGTCATGCTAAATATAATCACGTCGTGATATATTTGAAGACTTTTAATAAGGACGGGACGACCTTCAAAGTACACTGAAGGATAATAGATTTCTCGCCGTAAAATAGACGTTGGTATATTTTACGACGTAACGATGCGAGTACAAGGTTTACGTCGTAAATTTTACGACGTGATACGTGACTGGGGAATTTGACCCCCTGGACGTGAAAAAGGTGTCAGAAAGTCAAAAATGTGCTCAAAGTGTTTTGAATAGTAATGAACGTCATAAATATGACCCCCTGGACGTGAAAAAGGCGTCAGAAAGTTAAAGATGTGCTCAAAGTGTTTTGAGCAGTAATGAACGCCATAAATAAAAAGCTAAAATTGCTGCACAATGAATACAGTTTGCAAAGGACAGAAAAGAGTTGTAATGTTATGTAGTGATTAAAAGTGGAATAAACAATGCACGTTTACATTTGCTTGGGCCCTTTTATTCCAGACTATCAATATTCTTGTCTTCACTTACAAAGTCTTTACGCCTTTTTACGCGGGATCTTGTGCGCAAGCAAAATATAATTTTGAACATATCAATGACAGATGTTCACGACTTTGTAGAAAATTCCCTGACCTTGATTTTTTTTGTTTGCTTTACCTTGACATGTCCCTACCTGACACTCTGTATATGTTGCTTTAAGCAATGAATGTTAGATTGTTAATATTATACATTTTGGTACAATATTTTCCCAATTAATAATAAAATTCTTGACATTATCATTGGCCGCTTTCAAACTACAGACGAGCAGATGATTCGGATAAATGGCGTCAGACACTATAATTTGTCTTGATGTGCCGTAAAAGCGATGTTAAATCTTTCTTTTATCTTCCTCGAGCAGTTGCTGTATTTTCAACCTCCTACGTGACGGGCAGTTAATTGGTTTATTAACTATGAAAAATAACAAATGGAAATGCGTCTGCGGTTCGCAGGCTAAGCTTGACCCTTATTTCCTTTTCCGGAGCAAAAGACTTCCTAATTGTTTTCTCTTTGTTTCGTGTTTCCACGCCTGTGAGCCTGTATTGTTTGTGAAACTTCTGATTCATCAAACTGAAAAACAATATACTATTTTACGAAACTGAACTGCCTATAAAACCTGCTCCCGTTAATCAATCCAGCACAACATTGCCTGACACCCGCGCTTACACGGCACCTCGTCATATCCCTTGACTCTTTCCCGTTCCAACTGGGAGAAAGTATTCAGGTAGGACTAGTTGTCTTGCTTACCTTTTTACGTTTTAACAAAGTAAGTAGGATTTAGTTTTTTTTTTTTTTTCCCAATATATTTATTGATAATCACATTAAATAATTACAGTTACAATACTACAGAAAAAAACAAAAACAAAACAAAACACTTTAACAATAGACATTAACAGAGTAAAGCAAGATTAATTATTAAATTATTAAATTAATACAGGGCTAAAAGAGATTACAAAAAGTACAACAGGGCAATGAAATAATACGAAGTTAATGCAGTTAACTTAAATAAGGCGTCAGTATCCACTTTCTTTTAAAGAATTCTTTGTTGCTGATTTTTTCTTCTGTTTCATATTTAGCGATGATCTTGGCCCTAAATCCATAAATGTTTGGAAAGATTTGTTTGCTCCTACAGTCCCACAAATAGAGTTTTCCAATAATTATAAAATAGTTCAGCAGTTGAAGTAAAGGGCAAGTATTTTCCGTCAAAATTCCAAACAGCACATTTTCCAAGCAGAGACGAATTCGTTGATTCGAAATAAGGCACCAATAAAGTTCAAATTCAATCCAAAACTGTTTAGAGCGCGAGCAGTGATAGAACAAATGAGTTAATGATTCGGGTTGATTGTCACAGAAAGAGCATAAATCATTTGCTCTAAAACCTGTTTTATACAACTTTGTATTTGTGTAAAGAATTGAGTTAATTACCTTGTACTGGAAAGCTTTAACATACGATTCGACAACGATAGAGTGAGGCAGCTTAAATATTTGCCTCAGATCGTCGCTGTTAAAATGAAAGTTACTCTGTAATTTTTTAATAATATTGGGCGGTTTAGCTTTTTCTCTGATGAATAGGTTGTAGTAATCCTTTGATTTCCCTTTCGTAACATCAAAAGTATTGTCACCCACCACAAATGTTGGAGAGTTTACGGAAGGATACCTGTCATTCAAATGCAGAGTTCAGTGATGTACAATACACCGCGTAGTTGAACCACAGTTAATAAGGGTTGAACTAATTCATACAACTGAGTCTCTCAAATTGTGTAGCATTTTTTCGCATGTCGCGCAGTATGCCTCCTTTTTTCGTCATGTTATTAAGCAAGGATCTAGGATAATCAGGCGGAATTTTGCACGCACTCTAGAACTATACTAGTAGTTTCCAGTGGAAAGTGAAGTGCTGCGAGTAAAGCATTACCCGTCTCACACGAATAATCCGTCGCTACGTAGCGTATCAAATCATTTTCAGTCTTTGGTTCCGTCGTGTATATAACGTATTACTACTAAGGGTAAACAAACCTCGTCACTTTCCAGAAAAACTCTTAATAACTAAAGTATTTTATTAATTAAAAAAAATACAAGAAAGCCTGGCTAAATACACATTTAGCCCAAACAACGACGAGGTCTAGGAATTGCTTGAAATATTCTGTGAAACACATCGCTTCAATTCACGGGAATTTATTTCACTTGCATTCATACTCTTCGCTTGCAAAAATGTGGCTTTCTACACGAAACAGGATTTCTGCCGGGCTTAAAGTTTTCCACATCACACATTATTTGTGTTCTGAGTGTTCTTTTGTTTACTTTTTGAATCAATTCACTGCGAACGAAAGAGCCCCGATTTCGAAGGCCGTTCTTGAAATCGAGGCAAATGCGTTGATATACATCCATCCATCCATCCATCCATCCATCCATACATACATACGTACCGTATTTATTTGAGTAAGCGCCTAACCTACGGAACTCTACGGTTGAATAGGCTCACTTTTTTGTTTGTATTTAATTGATAGATTTTAGCAGTTGTTAAGATGTGAAGTCGTGTTGCACTTTATAAATGCTTGAGATATCAAGTATTTACTACTAGAAGCAACTTCAACTACCTGTCTGGGATTTCCACGTAATTTTTACCTGCGTACGTTCGTAAAATTCACGTTCGCAAATAGAATAGAAGCAATGTATGAAAGGTCGCAGTTAAGCGTAAAAGTAGGACCTTGCTCAACTTCACGTTTAATATCAACACTTTATAGAGCGTTTTCACTCACGTGGCTAGCATCTATGCAAGTTTATTGAAACAAAAGAAAGCGTTTGATTAAGAAAAGAGTTCAACTCCCCAGGATTGGTTTGGAACACCAGCATGGCCGCCGTGACGTCATGTGATTGGACATAGCGCAAAAACCGCAAGACATGCGCACTAGAGCTCTCGCCTCTGTTTCTTGTATTCCCGCCTTTCGATTTTCAAAATGTCGGAGGACTAATCAGAATCTAACACGTCACTGCGGACCCTGCCAAGCCGCTGTCCTCGCTCTGAGAATTTTTCAACATCGTTAAACGGAATCTGTCAGCATTCAGCCATGTCTTGGCGACGCTAGCGAAAAGATCGGACTTAAACAGGTCCTCTAAAGCAGCGGTGTTTGTGACCAGCTTCGGAGCCTATTTTGAAGCTTGTTGTTTCGAAGAAGGGCAGGTTTTTTACGTTTCTTAAGGTGGTCGCTTACTCTTTAAGGTCAGGAAAGAGAAATGTTGGAGGTAAATAGTTAATGCGAAACATATCAAATATGACTTGTTTTTCGTTTCTATGAAAATTTTTTAGAGCTCTTTAAAAGTGGACTATTGTTTCATGACTTTTGAATGTCAAGCAAGGCTCGTTCAAGGCGAAGTTGGAAGAACTACAAGTATATTTACGTCATTTACCGCGTTGCTTCGCAATTTTTGTTTCTACTGACTGTGAAAGGAATTCGATTTGCAACTGGTTTTCACGAAAATTGAAATCTAGAACTTTGTAATCTCACCTATAAACATGCTGTAAAAGTGGTTATCTGCAGATTTTTTTTTTTTTAAGTAGTAAAGTTCGGGTGATGTACATTGTGTTTTTTGAGGCGCTAAATATAAATACACCTTGGTGACACTGAATCGTGATTGCTCACGTTGTTTTCTCAGCGAAATCACGGCTACAGTGCAGCTGGAAAAGTCATTCTTCTTCTATTTTCAAACAGCAGCAAAGGCATTTTTTTATGACATGTTTTATGTTTAAAAGGGGCCACGAGAACTAAGGAGCCGGTCAAGATTTAGGGAGTATGGGGGGTGGGGGCTAGGGGAAATTTTTCAAGGTTCTACAAAATGCCATGTAAATCTGTATTTCTGTTACAAATAAAGTACATCGAAAAATTTAAATTATTATGACAACTTAAAATTAGGGGGGGGAGGTAAAATTATATTACTATGCAATGAAAGGAAGCAGAGCGGGGGAGGGGGGGAATACTCCCAAAACAATTTTTAAAAAAAGTTGAAAGAAATCAAAGACCAAAATAAAAAAGTCCACAAGAAACTTGAAGGTGGGTGCTTGTGGTTGAACATTTATTATTATGATCCAGACTATCTTTTAAAACACATTTCATCATCCACCCTCCTCCCTTCCTCCAAATAAAAGTTCATTTTCTTAACCTAAGTTTCATGGAACACTAAGCCACTGAGGTGGAACAGGAAGTTATTAATCCATATAGTAACCTGTTCCATTTCACTGGCCACAATAATGATCTGCTGTTTCTCAAACAATGGAAAGGTGCAGTGATCAGCCCTCTCATAATATGTTGCATGCTCAGTCATTATTTTTAACCCATTTACTCCTCAGAATTTTGCAGAAAAATTTTTTTTGAAGCTAATCAAGCTGTTTTCTGGTCACTGCCTGGCTACAATAAGCCAAAACGCTGTTTGTGAGTTGAGCACTTCACAGAGCCTTCTGTTCCAGATGCAACGTATCTGCTTCCAACATTTGATCATGCTCAGATAGAAAATTTCAAGCTAGTTTTTAGGTTTAAGAGTGACACAGCAGTCTTGACGTTTATTTTCCGCTTCCTCTCCTCCCACTGACAGGAAATGTTTTGGGAAAGCTTCTAGGATCATAGGATTAGATAGAAGGATGTGTAAGTGAGTAGTGGAACAAGATTTCAAGGGGAATGGGTTTATAGTTAAGCAGTAAATGTTGTGATGGGTTGGTTACAGTAAGTGACATCCCAAACTTGTTGTGTTCCTATTACTTGGGGAAAGCAACCAATGATAAATTCATTAAAAACTTTAAAAAAAATACACAAGTGTGGCTACTGATTTCAGAGCCCAAAATAATAACTTCACTGGTAGATATTTTCACTTGTGAAAGTTTTATTGTATTGACCCCATTACAAACAATAACTAAACCAATGAATACGTCATGGAGTTGCACTGTTCACCATCTTTCAGAGTAGCGTACCATATGACCTGCACCCGCCCATTAGTTGACAGTAAAATTATAACTTCAGAGAGATTATGTTCCATGTGGTTACCTGCCTGAGGTTATCGCTATTATCCCAACAAAGTCATACGGCATAAGAAGCTTTTGGTGGAGAACTAAACTCAGCAAACATGCTTTACAAGAAAGTGCAATGTAAATCGTGTATAAAAGCAATGAGTTTGACTACCCTGTGTGCACTAGTGTAGGCATTTACTGCATGCTCGACCAAAATATTCTTGGACTGAAAGGACTGAGAGCCGATGTCATGTTAATAAACTTGAAGCTTGTATTTGTAACTCAGGTAATGTATGCTAATAAAGTTGAAACGAAAGAAAAAATAAAAATTATCTGAGATAAAAAATTAACTGCAATATATACTGTATTTATTCGATTAACCGCCCTAGGTGCTTATTAAATTTTTGGACCTTGAGAGTGGGCGCTAATTTGAGGTGGGCGCTTATCGGAGGCTGGGCGCTTATTAAATTTTCAACATTTTCAGCAAGTGTAGTATGTTTATTTTGCAACAAAACAATAAATGGCAACCAAACACGAAGATGTAACAAAGCAAGGCTCCTGTAAAATACTTTGAAGAAAACCCTGTCTTTGGGGAAGTCTCTTATTAGTACTTATTCAATTTTTTGGGGGTGGGGTGGGTGTAGTCACTTATTTGAGTTTGAGTGGGAGGGAGGTGGGGTGGGTTGGGCGCTTACTTGAGGCTGGGCGCTTATTAACTTTTTCTGCCTTTAGGATGGGCGCTTATTCGAGGTGGGCGCTAATTCGAGGTTGGGCGCTTATTCGAATAAACTGGTATGTCAAATATAGCTTCAGGCAGAAGGTATTGAAACTCTTTCCAGGAAAGAAATTTTTGCTCAAAATCTTAAATTTTTCTTTGTAACACCATTAATATTTAACTCATTGACTGGCGAACAGTTTATGTTATATCTGTTTGACACAAAGGAGCACATTTAGTTACTGTAGCATACTTTGAGAACCAAACTTAAACGCAATGGTTATTATTATATGATAAGTAAGTATTATACACATTTCTGGGTGATGTTTGGCAGAAAGACTGTCCAGTGCAAAAACAAACACCTGATAGCAGGTTATCATCATGACAAGCAATTATCTCAGTGCAAAAGGAGACAATATTCAGCACTCTTGTACATCTCAATAATACAAGTCATTGATCCATCATTACACAAAAGAAGAAAAGTATTAATTTTATCCAGAAACTCATAAGGGGTTGAAACGTGTAACTCGCGTCCAATGCTCGTGAATATTCATTTTGACCATATTTGGAAACCTTAGTGACGGATATCCATTTTCAACAAAATGGCTGCTGCGCGATCACCATGCAGATGTCTTAAGACAAGAGTTCTGCATTTCACGGTTAAAAATATACCGTTAAAAGACAAAAAGTGGAAAGAGAAAGTTCAAAAGAATGTTCAGCTTTCTTTTTGTGGAGAAAGGGAAGCTTTTCATCAAGAAATCGTCCTTCGAGGAATTCAACCTTGTTTTCTTCACGGCGGAGCCCATGGTCTGTTTTGAAATGCAACCAAGTCAGCGATCGACAGCGAAGTTTTTGCTGAATTTTCAGGTACATTTTGTACTCTATGGCCAAGAAAATTACGTTTTTGAAAGGAAATTTATGTATTTTTAAATGTTTCATAGACGTTTTATAAATTTTTCTCTTCGGCGCTAAAGAAAAATTACAAAATGTGCCCTGATTTGAGATGGATTTTGTGTTGAATTTTGCCATGTGCTTAGCCGATTTCACTTGCGTGAACGGATCCACGATCCAGATAGTGTTTTCCGAATTGCTTTAGAGGATTAACTTTTCGTTGAATAAAAATTTTCAAGAAACGGCTTTTCTCTGTCTATTGTTTTGAGTTTGTTCATTTATAAAATTAGCTCAAAACACGATCGTGACTACAACATCTAATGCTTCCCACATTCATTACAAGCATCACTTTTTGCGAAGATGTCAGGTTCAGGTTTTGGACACTTTTCGATGCGCAGCTAATGAATTTTATTCGAAAATATTTTTTACTGTTTATTCTAGACTTTTAACATAAGAATGAATTTTAAAAGCCTATTTGCAGTTTAAGTTTACTGTGCAGAGGGTCAACGAGGCATCGCTTTTTGAAGTGACAACTTCAAGAAGTTGCGAGGCCTTCAATGGGTTTCATAATGTTACGTTTGGCCCGGGTGGTAAGGTAATAATATCCTGCTCAGTGTATCAGTAATATTCCTGGTTTCAACTTTTGAAAGCTTTCTCGGCTTTCGGGAGTTTTTCCCCCGTTTGTCGGCCATTTTTTTAAGCGGGCGCGGGAACCTGAAGGAAAACACGTCACGTTGTTTACGAAATTTAATTGGTCAGTTATCTCTTCTTCTCGTTCCAAATATGGTACTTTCGAAAATGAATAATCACGAGCATCGGACAAAGCAAACATATGAGAGTTACACGTTTCAACCCCTTATGAGTTTCTGTTTTATCTCAGTTAAATAGAACATTTCTGCAGTGAGCACTATCCTGGCGTGAATTAAGATATATTTGTTCCATTCAATTTTACAACAGTGAAAAATAATTTTCTTTAAATTAAGAAATCTAATCTGAAGAGAATTAGGGTAGTAGCCCTTCTATACAACCTCAGCTCTTAGAAATCAGGTTAATGGTTTCTGTTTCCTACAACAAAAGAAGTAATAAAATGATTATGGTAGATGTACAGCTTGTTTTATAAGAAATATTATTTTTCAAAACACTTAGAAGAAAAAAATCTACAATGACAGAACAAATAAAAATTAGTTACTACAAATAACAAACAGCAAAAGAAATGAGCTTCATACATGTAAACAATCATCCACATGCTAAAAAATTATTTGTAGCATGCTGTAAAATGTCTAACAAACACCTGATAGCAGGTTATCATCATGACAAACAAAATATAATAACCTCAAGAGTTTGGATTCTCACCTGTTTGCCTGTGTACGACGAGGACAGTGATGATAACCCCGATATGAAACATTGGATCTCTACGACTCAAATGTGAATCAGAATTCAAAGGAGGCAAAGTAGGACGCTTTAATTTGAAATCAAAGCTATGAAAGCTGTTCGACCACGCGAAGTTCTTGAAACAAGACGATTCTGACCAGCCAAACGCATTTTCAAAATATGGACAATCAAAGCTGAAAGCCTTTGGGTGCAATCAATAGCAAGTTCCCTGTAGCTGTTCCCGATGGCAAGGGTGTAATCCGATGTCAGTTTGCTGAAAGCTGAAATATGCTCGAAGGATTTGCAATATAAACACTCGATGTTTACATACGGTGGACATCCCAAACGGCGCTTTCAGTAACTTCACGCACAAAGTTTTGAAGGCAATTAAACAGTAGGTTTCATTTAAGGTTTCTTGCTATATTTGATTATTTCTTTTTCTACGAACGGCAGCCTTGTAGGTCCTTGTAGTTTAGCATCGCTCTCTCACGCTCAGCCGCCATGCTCGATCTTAATTTTCCCAGGTTTGCGCAGGCGCAGTTACGCAAAACAGGCCAAACTACGTCATTATCCACTAGCCAATCAGCGGTGTTTGCGCTCTGTCATGTGATTGTATA